GATACACCAGCGCCAAGTGAGTGTTCTGTCTAAGTGGAAACGAACAAGACCCTGTAGTACTGCAATTGGCCACGACAATAGCTAAGTCGATTATTCTTTTGTGATGTGCCAACTATAAAGCAATTTCAAATTCATTGTTAAATTGTTGAAATTGTGTTGGTTGCTTTAAAGTTAAGCTATCTACTAATAAATAAAATTATTAGAAATATTTATTACTTATAGATCCATTTTACTAATATATACCTAAGAAAAAAGCTGGCATATCATCATTATGTGTTGAAGAAATTGGAAGAGGTGTATTAATATTATTACTTCTATAAACTGGTTAAGAAGCTTGAGATTCAATATCAACATTATTATATGTTTGTAAAGACATATTATTATTAGTACTTTTATGAAATCGTGAAGAAGCTTGTGATTCAATATCATCATTATCACATATTTGTAAAGAAGATGCATTAATATTAGTGCTTCTATGAAGTAGTGAAGAAGCTTGAGAGTCAATATCATCATTATCACATATTTGTGGAGAAGATATATTAATATTAGCATTTTCATAAACTGGCAAAGAAGCTTGAAATTCAATATTATCATTTTCATTATCAGATAAAGAGTCTTGAAGAATTATAGTATTATTATTTTTTTTATAATATGCTGTAGATGAAATATTATCATCGCTTTTCTCTTTATTTTTCTTATTTGTTTGAATTGGTCAAGATAACAAGTCATCAGACAACTCCTTATTATAAATATATTATTAGTATTCAGTCTTTTGTTTTATATTCATTTTTTATATTAAACTTATAGTGGAATTAGCGATACTATAATTTTGTTTTCTATTAGATCTTTGTGGTTTTTTGGTGGCTTGACTTGTAGTCGCTTGGCTTTGATTATCTAGAAATATTATATTAGATAATATAATTCGAATAAGAAACCAAGCAATCTTAAATAAATACCCAATCTTCTTTTGACTATTACTTCTTTTAGAACTTTTTCTATTAAAAAAAATTAGTTAAAAGAAATTATTAATTATTTTTAAGAGTTTTTTTTTTCTTACCAAATTTTCGTTTAGGCATAATTAATATAGAATTAAACAATGTTGTAATGCTCTATATCTACTTAGAAATATTCTTGAAAGACTGTTTATTTAAGATCGAAATTTTTTTATTTATATTATTTTTTGCCTTCTTGCATCAGTTAAAAATTAACTATTTATATTATTTCTATCTTTACTATTTTTAAATAATGAATAATTGCCACGGGTTTGTAGTAGTTAATTAATGTTTATTACAAATGTATATGATCTATATTTTGATTATTACAGATGTATACATATAATTTATATGTATTTTGATTATTTAAAAGCTTATTACAGATTTATATGATGCAATTATATAGTTTGAGTTTTAAAATATTTATTTAATATAAGGTTTAAATATATATTTATTTAAC